ATTTCATCATCACTTTCCATTAAAGCCTTCTTAAGGCTTGCTAAACTGGATTTTTCTTTGGCTCTTAGTTCAGCATGAACTTTAGCCAATTGCTCCATGCTGGCACTTCTCTTGATCTTGGGAGCAGGCTTCAAACCTATCCCTCCATCTGTCTGGTCTTTTGCTTATGCCATGGAAGTGTTCTCTCCACTTTCTTTCAGATCCCTCTGATACTGGGTGAATCTTCGTTGGATCTTCCTCCTTTGAGACCTATAAATTATAGGAACCACATCTGGCTCCCTTGTTTTTGGATTATTTAATAGCGCCCAGTTATTTGGAGCCACCAAAGGAAGGTTTGATCATTCTTCCCTGGTCTCCAAAAACCTTTCTTTGAGTAGGCATTTCCTTAGGTTTATTCTGCATAACAAACCAATCTGGAACTCCTGGGACCCATGGGGCCACTAGTCTGGCTGTTGGATCTGCTGCCCCACTCTTTGAAAGTACTTGGGGGCCAATTATTAGCCTTGGTCCCACACCTTGCTCTGAATCTATGCTTCCTTTCAAGCTGGTTGTCTACTCTGTAATAATTGGGTGGCCTAGTTTCATACAAAGGCCTCTTTAATTTTGATTTCATCTTGGTGTCTGGTGGGGCTACCAAGGATGAATGCTGTCTAGGGCCAGTTAGGTATGGCCTCTTGTTATGAATGTTGGTTATTCGGTCCCTCTGCACTTCTTTGTAATGTTGTTTCCCATCAACTGGGAGCCCTTGCAGCCACTTGTAACACATCATGCACCTGGGACACATCATCTGCACTATAGCAACTTCGAGAGAGTCATCATCTAACATCTCTTCACTAGAGCCTTGTCCATCAACTGGTGAACTTCTTATGTTCTTCCTGAAATTAGCCTGGCTAGCCACATACATTTGCACAGTAACTTCCTCAAATTCTTTCAAGGATAGGTTTTCAAAATCTGGCATGCCAACAATGGCTGCAGCCTCCTCAATATCTGGAAATGGGTTGGTATCAATTCCCATAGCTTTCTCAGACTTGGCTGGAAACTTTAGGCTCCCTTTCCGAATCTATTCTTGCATCATGCCTTGGAAAATAATACAATTTGTAGTTGAATGAGACTAAGAATTATGCCATTTACAATACAGTTTTCTTTTAAGTTCTTCAAGGGTAGGAATCTTGACTTGCTTTGGTAACTTTAGGGAATTTGCTACAAGCAAATGATTAAAAATGTCATCTGCTTTTGTTAAGTCAAAAGAATACTTCATATGCAAGTCTTTCTTTTTAAACTGCTGGTCTATTGTACTGTCTTTCTGAATTAATGCCTCACAAGTCATAAGTTCTTTTCCTACTATCTCTGCTGCATCAATTTCATAATTAGGTTCCCTATAGTAGGTCTTATATGATGCATTACTTCGATCTTATTCTTCCTTGAGTAAAGCTTCATATCTAGACATCTTATAGGTTGACTCTACTAAGTCTCGCAACTCAGTTGAATCAAACTTCTTTCAAAGCCTAAATTCTAAGCCATTTTCAGACAATCTTACAAATTCGGGCTCTAATAACATGACCCTACATTTATTTCCTGCCCTTTTAAACCTGGCAATAAACTGAGTAGCCTTCTCATCAAGCCTTTGGCTCAATCTTGCCAAGTCTGCCATAGAAACTTTAGGTTTTGTTTGGAAAAATTGGGCATGGAAAACTTTTTCCATTTGCTGCCAAGTTTGGATAGAGCCAAGTGTAAGGTTTATGTACCATACGAAGGCTGCTTTAGTTAAAGAATTTGGAAAGAGTCTCAGTTTTATGTAATCATTATTGGCGAACTCACCATACTGGCATGTAAGCCTAGCAATGTGCTCCACCGTTGACTAATTCTCATTCCCATAAAAAAGAGCAAAGTCTGGTATTCTAAACCCTCTAGGATACTCATGTACCCTATCCACCCACTCTGGGTAAGGTTTTCTATACACTGGTGTCTGGACCCCCCGAGCCATAGGTCTACACATTTCTCTAACTATATCAGTAATTTGGTCCCTTAGAACCATATTTTGTATTGGTTGAACCACTACTAGAAGAACAAACACAGGGTTTGGAGGAACTCCATGTGCTTGAGGGCCTCTTGGTTCATATATGGGTATATTCAAGACTGGTTGTCCTTATTGCACTAGTTGCTGTTGGAGGTATGGCTGACCTCTTAAAATCTATCCTAGGAAAGGTCCTACAGAAAATGCTAAAGAAGGACCACAAGAAATCTCTCCAATCCCCCGAGTGTAAATTCAAACACAGGATTAATGGAGCCCCGTGTACCAAGTATGGCTACGAACATAGGATTTGGAAACATCCTCATACCATTCCCTTATGCTGGCCCAAATTTACCAATTTGTATGGTTTTATTGGTGGGCAATGGTACATTTTGGTTTGCTAGTAGTCTCGAAGGAGCTTCATACCATGACTGAGGCACAAGTGGTGACCTTTCATGACTATGATTGCTAGTCTGACCATTAGTTTGTCCATTATTTTGCATAGGCTGTTTGTCTTGAGCTAATCTATGAATTCATGTTTTCTTCAGCCTGTCGTGTGATCATTGGTTGATGGGAGTTTACTTGATCCAAAAAGGATGTTGTCCATCTTTCCATTATATACATTAATTGTTGTCCCATAGTATCTACTAAACCTCCTTATGGATTTATAGGGTTGGTAGAAGGGGCATTCGAAAGTCCAGTCTCATGGCCTTGTCTAGTGTGTTGGACATGTGTTGTATATTCTAAAGTGCTGGTCTGTTCAACCATTTGTGGAGGATCTAATGGGACAAGTGCATCCATTACATTCTCCTATGGGTTAGGTATTTCTACCTCTCTTTCCACACCCTCTTCCAGGTGTTCATTTTCTCCTCTTACTCTACGTCTAGCCATTTTTAATATGTCCTACTCGGCGTGCCAAAAATATATGTTGGTTTTTTTGGCTTTCGAGGGTTAATAGTGTAAATTTAAGCATGCTAACAAGGATCAATCAGTTCTTATAGAATTTTTATTGCCAATCAATTATCAGATGATTGTGTTAAAGTTCTTTCAGCCTCAATGAAGAGGACTTTTATTGGTGGCTTGTTTTAGGAGAAATTTATAGGAAAAATAACAAATACAGAATTATTCAGAAACTGAATATCATTAAGTAAATAGGAACTTATAATGAAATGACCCAGTATTGACAGCAACGACTACTTGAGAACTATTCCTAGGAAATGAAGTGTAGTATAGGAATTGAAATGCTGAAAATGTAAAGAACTGGAAAGAAAATATGAAGTAAATGACTGGTTTCTGGATCTGGGTCTGGGTCCTTCAATTTGGAACCTTCCATGTTATTTATATTCTTCAAGGGTAACCATCAAAGTGGGCTTCCAACCGTTTAAATGTCCTCCCATGATTGCTGATCATACTCTCTCACAGTTAATCCCATTACACTATTCTTGCAGTTAGGCTTCCCTCTTAGATTTGAATTTGAATTTGAATTCGTGAGTAACCGTTGTGACACGTCATCTTGTGCTTTCTAACTATTTCAGTGCTACGCAAATCCATTATAACCAAAACAACCTGCCACGCGTCTGTCTTCGATTGGAGACTTATATTAACTTCTTGAATTGTCCCTCATGTACCACGTGTCAAGCTGCGATTAACTTGTATAAAATATATAGCCAACAGCTATATATAACTTCTTTTTATTTATTTATTATTATGTCATTTGGGAAGTTAGTTGGGAAGTCGATGATGTTGAAGTGAGGGCTACATATAGTCGTTTCTAATTTGGCTCATTATCAAATTGGAGTACTCTCCATCTACGTGACATCATTATATATAAGTGCTTAAGGTAAGGTTACCTGAGCTTAGTTTTGTTGGTTATCATAATTTTTTAAGAATCTAATTCTTAATTAGAGAATGTTATAGATTCAACTCTTTTTAGGAGAGTTAAATTAAGGGCAAGCACTTAGCCCTTTGCAAATGGTTAACAACTTACTTTCGTCGATCCAAAAAAAAAAACCAAAAAAGCTATATAAGGTAAGGCAAAAATGTTATTCAATTTTTAACGGTCAGACTTTCTCCTCTTCTCATTGATCAGGATTCGAATCCTCTACTATTTAAGTAGAAGTTTGACGGTTTAGGTGGATCGACTAGCTTTTCCTAGTTTGGCTTGTAAGGGTAGATCCTAAGGGTATTACTGTCTTGAGGGTGTTCTAGGCATAAAATAAAATAAAAATAAAAACTATTAGACTTGTCCACACACACAATATGATGATCACCGGTGTAATTTCCACACAAAATTTGTTCAAGCACAATTTAGGAACGGATAAAGAGGAGCAACAAATTGAACATGAAAACCTGAATTTCACTATTGTCAACAACACTGTTTGATCTGCTATGTATCTTGTTTATAATTGTTTGTAAATTATTTATGACAGAATGATTTTCAAGTCCCATAAGCCTTACCATTCAATCTGGTTAAGGAAAAAATAAAAAACTCACAAAATATGGCAAACACAAATACCTTCATATTAATTAGTGGAAAACCGTGGAATCTGTGTGCTGAGATCCTCTTATACTGTGTTTGGTTGGAGGATTTAGAAAGAGAAAGGGAAAGGGAAAAGGTGTGTGAAACTCGGTAAAATTTAGGCATGTTTTATTCACATTTCACCTACTTTTTCTATTTTTCTTTCCAAATCTCTCCTCAAATCTCCCAACCAAACACAGCATTAAAAATAAAATAAAAAAAGAAAGAAAAGAAAATGTCAACAATGCCTCATGTATCATCAACATTCACAATATCACAAAAATTTTGTACACTTTATAAATCAAATTAATAAAAAAACAAATTGTATAACTTTGAGTACACACAAAATGTTTGTACTTTTTTTAAATCAAAATTAATAAAAATCAAATCGTATAACTATAAGTACACCAAAAAAAAAAAAAAACTTTTATTTTTCTTTATTTTTATTTTTTTTGTAAAAACAAAGGACTATGTTATCATTTATGGTAATGGTTGCCCTATAGATTCGTGTATAACACTATGGAGAAGGTTGTCAACCTTAACACCAAAAAGATAAAAACATTTTGAGCATAGCCTTTTATAACACTTAGAGAGAGAGAGAGAGTCTACTACTCTTTTGTATCTAATATTCCTGGATTATCATCAGAGTTAGCAGAATCAGAAACCAAGTTGAGGAGAAAGTCAAAGATATCAGTGGCTATAACAGCAGAGGCAACATCTTCCTTTTGAAGAGTCCTCTTCTTGGATTGGATTGCCATCATCCAAGACCTCTTGGCGAGTTCCTCTATGAACAGCTCACAAGCTTTTGAGAATACAATGGGGGCCTCCCCAGATATCATCTTCACATCATTCCCTGATTTCTTCATGATCTTCTTTATCCTCGCCAGCGGCAAGGAGTGCGTTCCGGTTCTCCCTGATATCCCTCTTCCTGATAGTATCCCTGAATATGTTCCTGCTTGTCTCATTTTCTTCAGATGTTTCTAAATTGAGGACAATATGTGAGAGAGAGAGAGAGAGAGAGAGAGAGAGAGAGGTTTTTATTTTATTTTTATTTTTTTTTGTGAAGTGCAAGGGAATATAGTGAGAGGAAAGAGAGGAAGTGAAAGTGATATTCGTAGTGATGAATGGGAAAAATAAATAAAGTCAAGTTGTACTTATAGGTGTGCAGAAATGCTATGTATCTTTCATGGTTTTAACTATGTATGTTTTTTTTGTTTTGTTTTATTTTTGTCCTTTCCATATCAATATATTATGATATATAGGTTGAAATAAAAATTACATATGTATTAATTGATTCTTGATATGTATTGCTTCATAGTCAATTTACAATCTATACACCTGGTTCGGCAACTAAATTTCTGTTTGATAATTTTATTAAAAAATTTACAATCATAAAATTCAATTTTTGATATTGTAAGAGGGGCTAATTTGAGCCCATTAAATTAATTAGGCCCAATAGTCCAAGATTGGTGGGCCCGAATTTATCACCATCAAACGGGCTAAATGGCTCTAAGCCTCGAAAGGGTTCGGATCCACGAACCTAGAGACTTACTCAGGCCCGGAACTCGAAAGGAACCCTCTCCTACAGATATGTATCATTCAACATTCGCTACCCTTACACCACTATTGATACCTATACATGCCGCTATTTAAAGGGCTGGGTTGGAGGAGATTGTTCGGGTCTGTGGGTCTCATTTCGTGTGTATCATCCAAGAACAAAAAATTAGGACGATTCGATAATCATAACCTCTCATTTTATCGTCTTTGTTACCAAAAATTACATATTTTATTTTCAAAACAATTGTCTATTTTTATTTTTTTTTTGACAAATGTGATAATTTGAATAAATTATAATTATCAAATTGACCTAATTTTTTTAATAGATAATATATACAAAAGACCATACAAAATGATCGTTTTTAATTATTAAAAGAAAGGATTAAATTCATTTTACCCGTTGTAGTTTAGGACTAGAGCACTTTACCTCCTCATCGTTTCAATATAGCTAGAAAATCCTCATGTGGTTTTGGACTAAAGTGTAACAATTTGTTTTTTCATCCAAACTAACGGAATGTATATTATACTCACCATTTTTTAGAGTGGGTTTTATTTTCTAACAAATCAGAATGAAATTAATATAACAAAAGTATAATTTTACTCCCATTTTCTCAAAACCTAAAATTAGATTAATATGTTAGTTAAAATAAAACAAATTAAACTAAAATATAATTAAGAATTGATCTAAAATATTAAATATAATTAAGAATTCATTTAAAATATAATTAAATAAAATAAAAAATAAACAATAATTAAGAATTGATCTAAAATGTAATTAAATCAAAATTAGATTAAAAGTTAGTAATCACAATAAGTAGTTAAGTATTTAGGATTAATTGTGATCTAAAATATAATTAAATTAAAATTAGAATAAAAATTTAAGAATTACAATAAATAATTTATAATTAATTGTGATTTAATTAAAATAATACAAGACATTATAAATTATATGTATGAGAGATGAGAGAGAAAGAAAATAACAAAAAAATATAGGGTTTGAGGGTATTATAGTCATTTCATATCTATAGGTAACAGTATTAACGATTACATTTTAGTCTAAAATCACATGAGAGCATATGGCTATTTTTAAAAGACAGAGGGATAAAATGTTATGAGGTCATACCACAAGAAGATAAAATAGATTTTGTCCCCCCAAAAAAAACCGTGACAAATTTTATTAATCCGGACAACACCTTCCGATCGAGATTGGAACGGGAGGAAAACCATACCCCTATTTATAAGTGTGGTACCAATAAAATATATGCAAAATTTGATATGTCTTGATGAGTTTTATTTTAGGTGCAATTTACACTATACTACATTTAAAAAAAATTAAATAAATAAAAATAAAAATAAAATAAAATAAAATCATATGTGATTTTATAATGAAATTTAATAAATTACAATCATAATAATAAACATAAAATATAACACATAAATAATACAAGTAAACTCATAAAATGGGAGAGAGAAAATTCCAATAGATAAATGAGGAATAAGATTCTCAATAAGATTAAAGGTTTAAATCACTAATCTCTTAATAAAATGAATGATTTCGGTCAAATGAATTAGCCCGTTATTTTAATCTACATCACATTTCAATTCATATCATAAACTTACGTTTCAATTTATATCATAAACTTATTATTAAAATATTTTATTTGAATACATACCATGTCATATATAGGTGTGGTGAGTTGAGAGTGATATGTGTAGAAAATAGGGTTTAGACGGAAGGCCGGCCAGCCTGCTAGTGTTGTGCCGGCTAGAGAAGAAATGCATTCATTAATTTCACTAAAATTTCCTCTCATTTTGTAGACCTTTTTTTTCTTTTTTGTGGGTACATAAATAGAAAGATCAGTTCCATTCCAAATTACTTCAAAACATTAAAGCGGCCTTTCAAACATTCAAATCAAACACCCATACACAACAAAGTTCATGTTATAATAATGATAGTGGTGAGCAAAATTTAACATAAAGATACAAGAGTCATACTATCTAATTGTCTGCTAAATAATAAAATAATGAGTTATTTTTAGGAAACAAATTAAGCACCATTCTGTCTTCAATTTTTTATTTTATTTTATTTATTTAATAAAGAAGTCGATTCTCAAGTTTTAATTAGAAGTCAAACCATGTCTTTATGATTACTAGAGTTTTTTTTTTTTAATTTTTGATCGGTTATGATTACTAGAGTTCAACTATGCAAATTGGCACTTCCTTCAAAACATTCACAATAAACTCTGGGTAGAAAAACCAAATGTGCTATAAGAAACAGAAAAAAAATATAGAATTGTAAAAAAATATTGGCCTTGTTTGGTTTGTTTTTCAGAAAAATTTTTGGAAAAAATTCTCTACAAACAAATTTTTAATAGTAATCAAATCACACAAATTTTTTCAAAAAAAATCTCAAAATTTTGTTTGGTTACTTACTTTTCAAAATCACTCTCTCTCTCATACACATCAAATCAATCACTTTTTTTAAAACTCTCTCTCCAAAACAATTTTTCAAAACTATTTCTGAAAAAAAAAAGCAAACCAAACAAGTTTTCGTACTTTTTATCTCAATAAAATATATATATATATATATATATTTGGTGGGATTGGCAAATGTTAATTGTTAGTTGTTAGATTAGCACCTATGAGAGAAAAACTCTCCACTCTTGTGTTGTTTGCATGTTTGGGATTTGTTTATTTTGTGACTTTTTTATATTTATTTTTGTTTTTAGTAATTTTTTTTTTAATTATTTTGGCCTTTTAATTTTTTTTTAATAGAATTTTTCAAATTTTTTAACTTTTTAGATTCTTCTACACAAGACAAACTGGAAAAGTAAAAAAAGTTGACATAATTTAAAAAAAAAAGTCATTACACAAAAAAATTCAGAAAATTCGGTGGCTTATTTAGCCCACTCCAAATTTATTTTTAAGCATAACTCACATCACACTAAAATTAAATTTTCGTCACGCAATATATTTTTCTATATATATATATATATATATATATATTTCTACATCTATCTAACATTATTTATAGGGTAAATTATACCACTGGTCCTTTTAGTTTAAGTGAAATTTCACTTTGGTTATTGTAATTTCAATTTGAACAATTTAGTTATTATATTTTCAATTTTATTGTAATGTGATCCTCCATCATGCGTTATTATCATTTTGATTGGAAAAAAAAAATCACGTACAAAACTAGAAGGAGTAAAGTAAAATTCAAAATAAACTATAAGGACAGGAGTAAAGTAAAATTCAAAATAAACTATAAGGACTAATTTTAAACGTGGTATTTTTTTGTTCTAAATTTTAATGGCAAGTGATGGAGGAACTATATTGCAATAAAATTGAAAGTTTAAAGACTAAATTATTCAAATTAAAAGTATGAGAACTAAAATGAAATTTTCTAAAAGAAGATTATTCAAATATGTTATCTAATGATTATTAATATGAGTAATGTTACATAAAAAACAAACCTGTCCAAATATCATTGGGTGTGTAATATCATTATTTTTTTAACAACTAGTCACATTTGGCCTTTTATATTTTTAGTAAGATTCTTAGTATGTATAAAATTATTCTATTAATATATGAAAGTCAGAGTGGCCTTGTGGGCAAAGTCTAATCTGAAGAATTTTCATTCTCTGTGCATAACATTATTCCCAACTTATGGCAGATTTGTTACTAAAGTGTAATCTATTGGGGCAGCTGTTGGTGTATGGTTGGTGCTGGTGCAGTGTGTAATCTTGATGATGTTCTTTTTTTGGCTGATTGGATGATGCAGATGGAGGGGTATGTTGATTGGAGGTGTTTGCTGGGTGGAGATATTGGACAATCTTCACTGTATTTAAAAAGATTAAATTCTGTTATATACAAAACAACAACAAGAATATAAAGAAATAAAGAAAATGAGAGAATTTGTTTGATTACAAAAATTAAACTCGAAATAAAAATAAATAAATAAAACTACAGATTTTATTTTGTTACAAAAACAAAATAAAATCTGATTAAATAAACAAATAAAAAACAGAATAAAATTAAAAAACTTACGTGGTTAATTTATTTGAATAACTTTTCTGATCAAGTCCAGTGTTTAACACTGTGTCCTTAAGACAGATTCGTCCTCTCCACGGTGCTTTCAGAATTTGGACGTCTATCTCCCAGGATGAAATGATCTTACCACAAACAATAGCAGCACTACAAATTGTTTGCCTTACGAACACACTAAGTGTAAATTTGACTCAAGAATATAAACAAAAGATGTGTTATTCTTATTCATAGCAACTTTCGGTACAACTGTCATTACATTCAACTTAAAGAGACCATCACTCATGTATCCCTTACCAACATACATACCACTCTTTGTTAATACAAATTTATCAGACTCAAATACAAGCCTAAAACCATTTTTACTTAACAAAGACCCAGAAACTAAATTCTTCCGGATATTGTTAGTGAAGGGATTTAATAAAGTTGTATTTATTTTGATAATAGTTGTTAGTGTAGGAATTGT